CGAGGATCTTACTTTCAACTTTTTATAATGCCGAGGGTCCTACTTGCATCATTCATAATTTTTTTTATAATGGCGAGATGAATTTTCACCAAAATCTTGGTGGAGATGTGTCGCTTGACACACTTCCTCAGTTCCTCTTAACCTAGGTCGCCCCCCGGTCCCTAGACACATCACCATGGCATGGGATGGGTTAGCATGCTAACCCCTAAGGGGTTGGGAAAATGACACCCCCTAGTGTATTAAATACAATTATAGAATTTAATACACACATTAAATACACATTAGGAATTAAATGCACCATATTAATTATTATTGTTTTTTCAAATTATAACCTACACTAAATATATTCTATCTCCCTATATCTGATTTTTCCTTTTTCAACAGCCTCTGACCACCCGACTTCCTCCGACCGCCACACTTCTCCGGTGAAAATCTCATCGGCAGACTCCCTCCGACCACCTGCAAAAAATATACCACTGCACTGATACGTTGTACCACTACACTGGTAGCATTACCACTGCACTGGTAGTGATATCAGTGGACTGGTACCAATGTCATATATGAGTATCAGTGCAGTGGTACAAATACCAGTACAGTGGTACAACATATCAGTGCAGTGGTATATTTTCGTAGGTGACCGGAGAGAGTCTGTCGGCGGATTTTACCGGCGAAATGTGGTGGTCGGAGGCTGCTCGGAAAGGAAGAATAGAGATAGGAGAGAGAAAAATCAAAGATGAGAGAGAGAATTGTATTTTGTATATGTTTAGATTTTATTTAAAAAAATGAGTAATTAATGTGGTGTATTTAATGCTTACTTTGTATTTAATAACAGAACATTTACTATGGTTACTTTCATTAATACTAGTCAATAATTAATGAAAAATTGACCAATTAACAAGGGGGTGTCATTTTCCCAACCCCTTAAGGGGTTAGCATGCTAACCCATCCCTGACAACCATTCGTCGTGTGCCATAGATTGCCACCATATTATGTTGGACGGTAACGTGCTCGTGCATCCCTTTAGAATTGAACAGTTACCGCATAATTACGTCTATCGAAAATTTAGATGGTATCCATGATTTTGGATGTTATAAACAAAATAAATCTTATATATGCCACTTCATTTAACAAGTAAATCATACGTGTCAAATGCATTTGAGCATGTGTAAAAGCCCCTCATCAACATCTTTAGCATAAACTATGAATTTCTCCTTGCTTGTTTCCCAATTCTGCCTCCCTCTCTCCCTTCCCACTCCCACCGTTGATCTCCAATGCAGGGATTTGATAATAAGTTATTGCGGAAGTTGACCTTGTACACTCAGACCATCACCGCGGCCGCAACGCAAACTCCTTACTCCACCTCCTGCGATCTAGCATCTAGCTAGCCTGTAACGCGGTTGCTGCGGAGGACGAGGCGCCGGATGCGGCCGTCGACGCCGTTCCTTCCTCCACTTGCTACCTTTGCGCCCACGCTTCTTCATATATTATTATCCTATTCCTATATGATAATACCCTCCTTCGCTACTCGCTAGCTCATTTTCTTTCCTTTTTTCATTAATCTTTCTTTGGCTTCCTTCTTCGTCCAACGTAACCCGATCGAATGTAAGTTCAATATAATATTTAAACAGTTATCCCATTACTACTATATCTCAAACAACCCTTTTCTTACAAGTCAAACAATGTACATAATCACACCTCATTCATAACTGCCATACATATGTCAACGCCACGTTAATTCCCTATGGTGGCGTGTACACTCTTTCACTGCCAATGTATAGCTCCGCTTGCCTCCATTTATCTAAATTGCTTCTAGAGAGCTCGTTGTTTGTGTTGAGAGTGGGTTGATGCAGCTACATGTAGCTTTTTCAACATTTTTAGTTGTTCAGATAAGTTGGTTTAAGACATTATCAGAATCGGTTTGATTACAATATCACCAGCGGCGGATCTAGGGGGCCGCCCCCAGGCCTCTGCCTAGCCCTCCCTCGATCTAGAGCTAGTATGACACTTGTAAATTTTTTATTTTCGGTGTTCGTTTTAGTGTTCGTCGTATTACGGCTCAGTCTTATTCGTCTTTTTTCTAATGTGGCCCAGTGCTCTACCCGATCCTGGATCCGCCGCTGAATATCACGTGTTCAAATCTTTACGGTTCTCAATATTAACAGTTCATCAAGTACATAATATGTTGGGTCTATGTAATTTTCAAATCTATGAGTTGGTTTCGTTTGAGGAGACATATATATGACTAGTTAAAATCCATAATTATATAGATCTCTTCCAACAACTCGAGTCATTATATAATCTTAAAAAGTGGATTAGTGTTTTCATTTGAAAGCAACCCTATATGATCAGACGGTCCACCGGTAGAACAAAAAAAGCTGCTGATGTAGGCATGCATGTCATCTTGAGCACAATAGTAAATCCTGCCAATCACATAAAATATATATCATTATAGCGGGCGAGCGATCATTACCCCTACCTTACATAAGTAGTTAATTAACATACATGACCTCTCCCAACAACTCGAGTTATTGGAATCAGTTAGTTTATGACATGATATCAGAGTTGGTTTGTCCTTGTGGTCACGTGTTCAAGTTCTCACGACTCAAATATTAATTGTTGTCTTCAAGCACATGATATGTCGGGCCTGTGCAAACCTCAAGCCACTTTCATTTGAGGGAGCGTGTAAGGAAGTGGTTAAGTACCATACATGGATCTCTCTCAACAACTCGAGTTATTGGGACAATACATGGACCTTTCCCAACAACTCGAGTTATTGGGACCAATTGGTTTATGACATACCTATCGAACGAATTTAAATGATAGAATCAAATTTATCGTGATTTGCAAGTTTCTCAAAGTCGTTGTATCAGCATACGTTGCATGTTTTCATTCCTAATATATTACTTAGGATATCTTATAATAAATTGATGGATCAATTCAGTATAATATTACAAAAGTACAGTTTTAGTTAGATGCAATTTGCAGGCTTGCAGTACAAGGTGAAATTAGGCAATTAATTGTTTCCATAATGACTTCCAATTCCTCTCTGGCCTTTTCTTTATTGGGCACGTAAACTAAAAGGCAGCTGAAATTTATACTTACCCAGAAGTCAAGACAAATAGGACAGGTTAAAGCCAAATGTGTAGACATATACATAAGTTAAGTAGCTAAACAAGCGAGTTGACAAGAAGCAACAGCCAAGTCCCCCGTGTAACGTAGCTAAACAACAAGAAGCCGTGAGGCTCAAGTAATTAATGTAGCCGGGTAGACGAAAGAGCCAAAGAGGGCAGAGAGAAGAGAAGAGAAGAGAAGAGAAGAAAAGAGAAGGGCTAAGCTTATGCCGCCGACTTAACATTACTTCACACCAAAACTTTCATCCAACGGAGATTCCCCTATCGAAGAGATCTCATATCTCGCTAGCCACTAAGGCCATGATATTTTTTTTTTTGATAAATGGATGCAGAGCATCTAGCTTTTATTCATAACCAAACGAGTCTCTGAGAGACCTTGAGAGTCATACATAAGAATGTGATTAAAAGGAGGAAACGAACAAGACACTGTATGAAAACCAAGAGGTAAACTGTGGCCATGGTTGGCCAAAAAATCCGCTCCCTTGTTGCCTTCGCGGTACACATGATTGAGGGTGACTTCCCAATCTCGCTGCAGCATCTCCTGGAACCTGTGTATGATGGCTGCATGTTGGTGGTCCGGAGTATCCTGGCTCCGCAAGAGCTGGATAACACACTGAGAATCAACCTCAAGTCTAATACGCCTGTACCCCAAATTCCAAGCCAGCTGAAGACCTTCCACCGCGCCCCTCAATTCAGCTCGGGTGATGGAGCATACACCCAAGTTCAAAGCGAATGCTGCAAGGCAGCATCCTAAGGGCCATGATATTATTAACAAAATAAAAATAGATAAATCTCAGTTCTCATTTTCTAATCAAAATCACAATATTCCTTTAATCTTAAAATAAAAATTAACAATGATTCATCGGAATTATTCATTGACAAATAATAGATGTGAATGTATGTGTATAGGTATGTCAGGAGTAAGTTATCCTTTGCTCCATATATAGTCATTTTAGCAATCATGAAATAAAAGCTAGTTAGATAGAGCTATTACATAACTGATGTTGTAAGGAACCTCAATCTTCAACGTAGCAACGAGAGCTACTGCAACACCTGACCGTAGACAAATATAACATCGACAAAGAATGAGAGAGATCCATAATTCATAAGTAAGGAACCGACATTAATTAACTCACAAAACACATTTTGGGGTGAAATGGAGTTGTTCTTATAAGAACTTCGTAGTTAAACATGCTCACTGTAGAGCATTGCAGGAATGGGTGACCTTATAGGAATTGACCTTGATATGCATCGCAAAATAAAATATGTGAGGATGTAAGTACAAAGCGAACAATATATTGTCGGAAGAAAATTGAAGATGTTAAAGTTATATTTCTTTGGTTGCCGTTGGTTTAACGGACAAAAAAAAAAAAACTTCTTCAACGAACATTCTCTTTACTTTTTCTTGTCATCATAAACAAAGAGTTCACGATAACTATTGCCTATGGTTGGTTAAAGTAAGGTCATGGAATCTAATTTAGAAAATCGGTTAGAAGATGGGGAAATCTCATTTTTTGAATAAAATAATAATAAGATTAGACCCGCTAGATGACACATAAAATATGGGGAGTGAGGGGCCCCACACTCTGTCTCAGAAACGCCTTTGGTGTGACGACATCTCACAACGCAAAAGAGTACTCCTCCTCAAGTCCTCCCCACGCATTTTGCTCGCTCGCTCGCTCATCAATCCCAAAAATTCCCCAATCCCTTCTCCTCTCCTCTTCCTCTATATATACCAATCCCTCTCCCTCCCCTCCATTTCAGCTCCTGCTGCTAGCTTCTTCTCCCTCATTTCCCACCGCCAATCCTTCCGCCAGATCCATCCACCTCCCGCACTTTTTTTATTATCTATTATTCATCTCTTTCTCCATGGCGGCGGTGGAAGAGTTCCAGGAGTCCGACGTGTTCTTCTCCGGCGACCACCACCGAGAAACGGCAGATCCTCATCATCATCGTCACGAAATCCGACGGCAGCCGCGGTCCAGCAACAAGAAGCAGAAGAAATGGAGCAGTAGTAGTTCTAATAATAATAGTGCTGCTGCTGCTTCCTCGGTCCCGGTAGGCATCCCAGCTAATGTTTTCCGGTTCGGAGATTTGGAGGAGTTGGAGGATGATGAGTATGAAGAGGAGGAAGCCCAAGGATTGGTCCCTCCCCACGTTATCCTGGCGAGGAGGGTGGCCGGGGAAATGGCGTTCTCCGTTTGCACGGGGAACGGGCGGACGTTGAAGGGGCGAGATTTGAGCCAAGTCAGGAATTCGATTCTGCGGATGACTGGCTTTCTGGAGACGTAGTTCCAACTTTTGATTAGAAAAAAAAAAGCAAGAGGAGAAGAAGCGGAAATTAAAACTGATTAGCGTATGGATTCATGTTTGGTCACTTCGCCGGCCCAGCCCAGCCGAATTCCGGGCTGGTGTTTTTCTTATAGGTAACCGTTGGCCCAAATTTCGCCAAGGGTGGGATTGTGGTGTTGTAGTAATTAGGAAAATTGAATACTGAAAAAGGAAAGAGAAGAAATTATCAACAATGCCAAGCTGTTAATGGGTTTTGTTCATGTTTTCAAAAAAGCACACAAAAAAGAGAGTAAAAAATAGGTTTATTATTATATTGTTGGTTGTTAGTACAAAACGGATACTATCGTTTAATTCGGTGTTCACATTGGTGTTAATTATTTTATTTATTTATTGCTAGTGAAGAAATGTGGGGTAAATAATCCAACTATGATGTGAAGAAAATACCGAAGGAAAGGTGCACAGTGCGCCATCGAGGCCAGTTACTCATAGCTGGAATTATTTTATCTTCATTTGAAATTATTTATTTCCTATCCTACATCCTATCCTACAATCAATATATGGAGGTTCTCCTCCAAACCACTTTGGTTTCACTTTTGCTGCTTCCTGGGCAGAGCACAAGAGGATTATTTAGTCATCTTGATTTTAGTCCATAACATGGGCCTTTGAGAACACCAACACCAAGCATTTGATTCTGTTAACTGGCAATTTCTGTTCAATGTGCTTGAAGCTATGGGTATCCTAGTTGAGTTTATTGATTGGATCAGAATGTGTGTTACTGAGCGTATGTTAAGCATATCATTTAATGGAGAGTTGACATGATATTTCCCCTCTAGGTAAGGGTTAAGACAGGGGACCCTGTGTCTCCATATCTGTTTGTGGTAGCTATGGAGGTCTTCACTTGTCTTTTGGATAGAGAAGCAGAGAGGGGTTATTTCCCTTATCATCCAATGTGCAAAAAGGTCAGATTGACTCACTTGTACTTTGCAGACGATCTCTCGGATGGTTCTAATCGTGGTCTGCAGAGTGTACAGAATGTGTTGAATGAATCTTATCACTTATCTGGCTTGAAGTCCAATCCTAGTAAATGTGAGGTTTATTTTGTAGGAATGGACAAGGAAGAGATGGTTGTTAGGGCTGCTCGATTTGGGTATTAGTTGGGAAACTTCCCTGTTCGCTATCTAGGTGTGCCACTGATTGCAGGAAAGTTAACAGTTGCTACTTGTAGGCCACTGATTGATAGGCTTACTGACAGGATTAAAGGATGGCAGGCTAAATCTCTCTCGTATGCAAGGAAGGTGGAATTGGTGAGCTCTGTGTTGTATAGCATCACTCAGTACTAGATGAGTGTTTTCTCACTTCCTAAGCAGGTCCTAAGGGATATAGAAAGAGTTTGTAGTAATTTCTTGTGGGCTGTGGGAGAAGAACCGAGGCTCAAAGCAAAAATAGCCTGGAAGTACTTAACTTACCCGAAGAAAGAAGGTGGATTAGGGCTGAGAGATATGTATGCTTGGAACAATGCTTGTATCTGCCGCCAAATATGGGCCATCATGTTGCAGCAAGGATCGCTTTGGGTGGCTTGGACAGTGACATACAAACTGAAAGGGAGGAGTTTTTGGGAGACAAGCATAGATGGTTCTTGGAACTGGAAGATGATGTTGAAGATGCGAGGTAAACTTCCTCACCTTTTTAGTTTGATTGATGGCAAAGTATACTGGAATAACAATGTGATGCCAAGGTACTCCGTGAAAATTATTTGGGAGTCACTAAGACCTAAATTAAGCTTTGTTTCATGGGCTGGTTTGGTATGGTTGGCTCCTTCTATTCCTAGAAATAGATTCCTCGTATGGCTTATCATTAAGGATAGGATCCAGACTAAGGATAAAATGAAGAGATGTGGATTTATAGGTTCTGACTTATGCAGTCTTTGTAATCAGCACCCAGAAAGCAGAGACCACTTATTTGCGCAATGTGAGTTTTTTAGGAAGCTCTTTTATGAACTGTTGGGGGGGGGGGGGGGGGGAGGGGGGTTTCTGATTTCTTACCGAGGGATTGGGAGGAAGGGTTGCAGTGGGCAACTCGAAAGTTTGGGAAGAAAGGGACGGATGCAGGGCATGGTAGAAATGTGTGGCAGTCACTGATAAGTCATGTATGGAGAGAACGATGCACTAGAGTTTTTGAAGGGACAAACAGAAGTGTGGAAGGTTTGAAGAAGGTAATTAGTAGTGAAATTCTGGTGATGTTGCAGGAGGAGGAAGCTGCCAAATTCCGGGTCTCTGGCAATACAACTTTTTTGTGATTTAGAAAAAGTATTACATGAGGCTGTATAGTTAGCTATAGTAAATATATATATATATATATATATATAAACTGTAGAAGACAAAAAAGATAATTGTCAGGCTGACATCATCAATCAAATAGAAGGCCAAGATGAAAGTATGTGTGTGTGGGCCTGTGGGGACTTCTGGGCCGAGATAGTGTTATATTTTTGTGATGTCCGTCAAAATTAGATATATTAATGGCCTATTCACTTGACATTCCATTTTTCATAATTGACAACAGAAAAAATTTTAAAATGAAAACAAAGTTGTCGTTTACGGTGAAACAAAACCTAAAAAATATTTATTTAGTCGAGAATTTTGATAGTTCTGAAAACGAAAACCTGTTTAGTTACTTCATTTGTTTTTTTTTACTTGATTAGCACTTTTTTCGTTAGGTATCATACAACTCTAGTCTATTATTATAATTTTAATTACAAATCATATTGTTTTTAAATACCTAATAAACGCATAAACACAATAAAATTACAATATATTATATTATATAAGTACTATATTATAATCAGGGCCGGCCCATAATATTCCGAGGCCCTGTTCAAAATTTTAAAATGTGGCCCTAAAATTTTTCGTTGTAAATTTATTAAAAATAAAAGTTGTTAAATAATAATAAATACATAAATTTAAAAAATGATTAAGGCCTCTTTTCCGTGGCTCTTGGCTGCACTAGACATGATTTTGTCACAATTAATTAGAACAAATATGACCTATTAAAAGACCAACTACTCTATTCACTTTCTTTTAAATTAGGTCTATTAAAAATCAACATATCCATTTAATTTCTTTTTAATTTGGACCCACTGAAAAACTAACTAATTCATTCTCTTTTAAATTTGGCCCATAAATCCTTACATGGCCCATATAAACGAGTTAATAACTATTTCTTTTAACTTAGGCCCACATGTAATTTTCTGGCCATATCAACGAATTAATAACTTGGGCCCATGCCATATAAATGAATCATACGAGGCCCTTAAAATTATGAGGCCCTATGCTGTGGGTCTGACCAGCACAGGGCCTTGGCCGGGCCTGATTATAATCAATGTGAGGGAGTAGAACACTAATCTCCCAAAATTCCTTCTCTGAATTGAGGTCACCATTGCTTCTATTTATGGGAGCCACTTTGCCTACCGAGAACCAAGACACGGGGGTTTGATTGTGCAACCACACTTTGGTTCTCTCTAAACCGATAACTGCATGCATTCTAGGTCGAATTGGAGTTTGAGGAAGGAGCTCGGTGGGGATTGATGGGGAATGAGCGGCCACTGGAGAAGGAGGAGGACGAAGCTGGAAAATTTTCGATGTCAGGTTAGGGAATTAGGAGGAAGGATTGGTCGCCAAGATAAGCCACACGGGCAAAAAATAAATGGTAGGCATGGTGACTTGAAATCTCGACTTCGTTAATGAATTAATACTGTTTTCCGCCGGAAAACAGTGAGAAACCCGTGCCCTCAATTTCCAGGAAACTCCTATTTATCGTTTCTTAGCAGCTACCCATTAGTTTTTTTTTTTGAATAATCGTACTTTCTTTCATTCCATCCAAAAGAAGCAGAGCAATTACAACATATCGGATAATACAATCAGAACAGATAGCCAATCTGGGTGAAGGGAATTTGTTCTACAATTTCGAGCAACCCAATCGGCTTTTTTGTTGTTTTGACGACCTATGAAGAAAAGATGGATCCAATTCGAACAACGCAGAATCTTGGTGATTGAGGCAAGCGTCGCATAACAGCGCCAAGGCCACAAAGAAGGGGCACTTTGAACGGCGTCCACCAAAATCTTACAATCGGAGAGGATCGTTGAAGGAACACGGTCATTAGCTGCCACCTGACAAGCTTCAAGGATGGCTTGTGCTTCAGCTTCAATTGGAGTAGAACAAAGAATCCTTCCAGCCTTTGCATCGCAAATCTGTCCTTCAGAGTTGGTAATAACCACTCCAAAGGCCGCCTCCTGTGAAACGTTATCAAAAATACGTCACAGTAGAACTTACGAACGAAGCTCGGCGGTGGGCATGATTGAGAGGGAATGACCCCAGGCTGAGATGAAGGAGAGAGAGGTGGAGAGTAGTGAGGCTCAGCCGCATCACGAAAAGCACCAATCGAGGTCATCATCGGGGAGGGAACGACACCTCTGAAAATACACTCATTGCGGGCCTTCCAAATGTTCCAAGCACAAAAGATTTTTTTGCCTGATAGAGATCTGTGAGTCTTGATCTTTAAAGGAAAAGATCCATTGGGTAATTTTCAGAGGTGAGACGAGAGATGGGACGACATTCTCCCACGTAGCCAAGGCATGAGGGCAATGGAAAAGACAATGAATTTGTGAATCTTCTTCTGCATTGCATAACTGGCATCTTGGGCTAGGAGGGCACCTTCGATTGAAGAGGTTGAGGCTGGTGGCAAGGGCATTACGGATACCTCTCCACATAAAGAATCGGATCTTTGGAGGGAGTTTCAAGGACCAAAGCCATTTCCAGCTATCATCTGAAGCAGGCATGTTGAGATCATGATGATGAAGATTGTTGAGCTCCCAACGATGATTGCGTAACCCATGGTAAGCAGAACGGACAGAGAAATCCCCATTCGGGGTGAACTTCCAGGCCCACTAGTCGTCGGTTCCATCGGGGCCAATGCAAATCACTAAGATTGCCTCAAATTCCTCTGTCGTGCAGTGTCGTCGGAGGAGACTGAAGTTCCATTTGATTCATTTTTCGTTCATCCAATCTCGAACACGAGAGGGAGGGCCCAAGTGGGATGAAATCCTGTGACCTTGAGCATGAAGAGAATGAACCCATGGGTCACTATGGAACCACGTGCTCTCTCCCGAACCAATCACCCGAATGATGCCGAGGTCAAGCACTTTCCTTGCATCACAGAAGCTAGCCCAAATACAAGAAGAGGAACGACCTTTGCATGCCGAGGAAAAGGAGCCATTCGGAAAGTAGAGCCTCCGAAGCACTCTTGCCCAAAGGGCTTCCGGCTCATTGATTAGTCTCCATCCCTGTTTAGCCATAAAAAATTCCGAAAATCACGAAAATTCCGAAAACCCAATCCGCCATTCATCTTGGAATCATTGAGCACTTCCCCTTTTCGCCAAGGAATGGATCGCTTTGTCATCGAGCCGGACCAAAAGAATCTGTGAAGTAGCGAGTCCATTTTCTCGGTGAGGAAAACAGGAAGGAGGAAAACGTCATGATAAAAGTTGGGATTGCTTGAATAACGGCCTTGAGTAGAGTCTCTTTTCCTCCATGAGAGAGGGTGAGACTCTTCCAAGATTCTCCTTTCTTTTCCATCCTTTCAATAAGGAACGCAAAGGTTTCCTTCTTCGATCTTCCCCACTCCGTGGGGACGCCAAGGTATTTGTCATGGCAAATTGCCGTGGGGAAACCAATTCGGTTGGTGATGAGAAGCCTGAGATCCTCCAGAGAGTTCTTGTTGAAGAAGACAGAGGATTTCTCCAAATTGACCTCTTGACCAGTAAGGTATTTGTAGGTAGGTATTAATGATCTCCAAAATGGCTTCAGCTTCCTCCATTGATGCTTTTCCAAAGATAACAGTATCGTCTGCAAACAAACAGTGAGAAATCCTTGGGCAATTAGGTTTGAGCTTGATACCATGGATGACCCCTTGGGAGACTTCCTTATCAAGTAAAAAGGAGAGAGCATTCGACATAAGGATAAATAAGAAAGGTGAGAGAGGGTCTCCCTATCGGATGCTCCTTGAAGGAGAGAAGAACTCGGACGAACCCCCGTTGACCAGGATGGAGAAGCGCACAGTTCTAACACATTCTCTAATCCACTTGCACAAGGAATGGTTGAACCCATAAGCAATGAGCAGGGAGTCCAAGCAGTCCCAATCCACCAGATCGAAAGCCTTTCTCATGTCCATTTTAAGCATCATATCAAACCTCTTCCCCTGCGATGGTTCTTGAGTTGGTGGAGAACCTCGTGCACTATAGTGATATTGTCTTGGATCAATCGGTCACCAGTGAATGCTGCTTGCATCTCAGAGATCAGGCTAGGCATGAATTTCTTGATCCTGGTCGACATGATTTTTGAAACCACCTTATACTTGAAGTTGCAGCAACTGATAGGTCTGAACTGGCTGGCTTTGTCCGGGGATGGAACCTTCGGAATGAGGGCAATGTGTGTATCATTCCATCCCCGAGGAAGTGAAGCTGTGGAGAAGAAGGAAAGAACTTCTTTGACAAAGTCTTCCCCAACTGTGCCCCAGAACTTCCTATAAAAAATACCAGAGTAGCCGTCTGGTCCTGGAGACTTATGGGGTCCCAGAGAGAAGACAGCTTGTTTGATTTCCTCCCTTGTCACCGGTTTGGTGAGCTTCATGTTCATGTTATCAGTGACAAGCCGAGGGAAGCCTGTCAGGAGATCGACATCAAAGTTGAGCTCCTTTGCTGTGAAGAGTTCCTTATAGAAGTCATTGATGTGGGCAGCAAGCAAGTTTGGTTGTTTGATCCAATTTCCATCATCATCTTTCAAACCAAGGATCCGGTTGTAGTGTCTTCTGAAGATCGTCGAGTTATGGAAGAAATTAGTATTGCGATCTCCTTTGGCCAACCATTGGATTCTGGATTGTTGGAGCCACCTAATTTCTTCATCCCGCCAAATGCCATCAAGTTCCTCCAAAAGTCTAGTCTCTTCTTCATGAACCTCCTCTGAACGAAAAGCTTGGGCAAGAAAATCCGAGCACATTATAATCTCCTTTTCTCTTTTGTTTTGTGCTTCATTCATCTCTTTTGCCCAAACTTTTAATTGATACTCGCAACGTTTTAAACGTTGGTCGTGGGATCCTTCTCCAGCCCAAGCATTAATAATTACTTGGTCACAATCCTCCTTGCCAATCCATCTGTCATCGAATCGAAACGGTCTTTTCCTCCATGGTCCTGGCGAGTGCAGCTCAAGTCAGAGGGCTCTGTGATCAGAACTGACATTGCACTCATGAAAAAGTGTACTTTCATCAAGAACCTCACGCCACGAATGGGAACATAAGGCACGATCAAGACATCCTTTGATATTGCGGTCACCTCTTCTTTTATTTGTCCACGTGAAGTGCGGTCCCTTATATCCCAAATCAATGAGTCCGTTGTTGAAAATGAAGGTCTTGAAAGGATCAACTGATTCTCGTCTCAACGGACCTCCTCCACACTTTTCGTAGTCAAATAACATTGCATTTAAATCTCCTATTGCATCCCGTGGTACATTAGCATCACTTCTAAGACTAGAAAGCCTATCCCAAAACGCCATCCTCTCACTAGGGACGGAGGGGGCGTGAACAAAAGTCATGAAGAAACCTCCACCATAATTAATAAAGACATCAAAAAAATTCCGTCCGCAATCCCAAAATTGGATAGGGAAGCCTGCTGTCCACCAGAGAGCTAAACCGCCGACTGTCCCTTCCGAGTTGACATATTCACCCTTGAAAAAGTTGTTGCTGATCCTTTTTTGCTCCATAGTCTCTCTAGTGTTCATGGTCTCCATCAGGAAAACAAGAGAGGGGCGAAACCTTCTTACCATCTGTCGAAGGTGATTTTCTGTCCGGGTTTGCCTAATTCCCCGGCAGTTCGAGCTTATATAACTCATTCCTCCCCCGGTGGCTTAGAGCTGGCCACCTTCGCTTCAGAGTTATTATGCAACAGTTTCTCCCTTATTTATTTCTCTTCACGATATTCTTCATTTGCATCTCCAGCGGTTGTCTTCATTTTGCGACCCTTGACTCTCATTCTAGCATTTCGAGGCTTGCAGCTGTCATCACCAGGAGAGAGATAAGGCTCTCCAAAATCCAGTGGCTGACCATGCTTTCTTTTTTTTGGTTCAGCCTGGCCTTCATTAATATATATGTAGGAAGAGGAAACCCAAACTCGTTGGGCCTTCTGTTGAGGTCCATTTTCTTTCCCAATTCTTCCACCATCTGAGAGACATTTGGGTGGTTGGCTTGAGCATGTTGGGCTTGGAGGTTAAGTTGAGACTGAATGATAGAGGCTTGCATATGGGCCTGTTGAGTTTGATAGGGCCCATTCGGAAAATCAGCTTGTTGAGGGAAAAAATGGGCCCAAGCAGTAGCTTCCATCTCTGATGATAGGTTCCTCGCAGTGGAGGAGGAGGGGGAGTGAGGATGGAAGTTGACAGGAGGTGAGAAGAATGGCAGCGCTTCATAGACCCTTAGATTAGGGTCAAGACTAGGGGAGAAGAACCAATGACTAGCATTCCCAGCAGCAGATCTTGGGCTTGATGCAGAATAGCCCGTTGGAAAAGGGTGAGGCGTGAAACCTGGAGGGCCTCGAATACCGTGCTCCATGTCATCGTCGGAGGGAGTTGCCGGCGATCTTGAAGTGGTAGATCCTTCTGCCGGAGAATCTTTCCTGGGGATCCACAACTTGTTCTGAACGAAACCCGGAGACCCCGAGCTAGATCCGGCGTCGCTAGGGGAGTTATACACAACTCTTCCCCTTGGGGGAGGGGGTGGGCGAACAGCCCTAGTTCCTGCCTTCATCCAAGGGGTGAATCTTCCTTCTGGTGGGGAAGCAATCCTCTGTTCAGCATCAGCTCTCTTCTTTGGGCACTCTTGCTTTGTGTGTCCCTACCTTCCACAATAGTAGCAGAGGATGTACAGCTTCTCGTACCTGAACCCCAACCATTCTCTTGAAGCTTCAAAAGTGCAGTACGAGCCTGGGGGTAGGGGGCGATTCAGATCAGCTTGGACGAAAACTCTAACAAACTCCATATACTTGTCAGGATTAAGCCCTCTCATGTCTATGCCATGGATCTTTGGAAACATAGCTACAACTGATTCGACATTAGAGGCGGTTCTTTTGTGATCTGGAATGCCATGGATCTGAACCCAGTAGTCTGCAAGATCGAAGTTGACATTTTGGGGTCGAACAG